CCCTCCCCAAGCTGGGCAGGTCGGTAACTTGGCTGAATCCGCCGGCCGCTGCGAGTACTACGGAGGGGAGGGGACAGGTTGTGCGGTTGCCGCGTCGGCCAATGAGCGCGGACCTGGCGAGCGGGCTGGGGCCACGGCGTGTTGACCTAATATGGTCAAAGGTTCATGCCCTGCGGGTATGGTCTGCGGCCAGCTGGCCCACTGATTGAGCCACAGCACCGGGTCGCGGAAAGGTTTCGATAGGTATCTGAATTGGAGAGTGGAGACCGTTAGCTTGAACTTGAGTGTAGTCGCTCTAGGTTTGAGATGCCGTATCACTGCACCGTTTTTGAAAAGGGGAGAATTATTCAGTTGAGTGATGAGGGTAGAACGGTTGCAGAAATCTTTAGGAGGGTTGGTTTAGGAGGTTGTTTTAGGAGGGGGCGGTTTTACGCCCCCCCCCCCGTCTAACTCGACTCCTGAGCGTCGTAGAGACAAGCGGTAGGCGGCGTTCGAAAGAGCGATAAAAAACGTTTTTACTTCTGATACTTTTTCTTAAATAGCTTTTGATCCAGACAAGATAAAGGATCGATTCGAACGTCATCGTTCTTAGCTTGTCAAAGCGCATCGAAAGCTATATCATGTGACCTCGAAAGGTCAAGTTGAAAATTTGACCTAAGGTCAAGGTCATGACCTGACTGAAATAGGTCATGTTGCATATCATTCGATCCGCATTGATCAGACAAACATGATAAACGTCGAACGGAGTCTCTATTTCTATTCACTCAAAAGTTATTGCAGAAAACCCCCGCTGGTGACCTCAGGTGACCTCGGATGACCTGGCGACACCTTCCAAAGGTCACCGGTGACATCTTTCGGTAGAATGACCACCAGGGACCTGCAACACCATGATCCTGAATATATTGTGTGGATCGGGTGGCATTCAGATGAAGTTGAAATTTATCCCATTGACTTATAATGGGGAGGTTGTGAGATTGACCTGACCTCAGGTCATAGATAAAAAAATCCGAGACATACATTTTGTGGATATTGTCACCCTTACTAACTCCTGAAAGTTTCATATCGATCGGTCAACAGTTGTAGCTTTGGTGCAAGTTCAAACTTTTTGTGACGTTAGGTCACTCAAACCGACCTGTTGACCTGACCTTAAGTCATATAAGGTCAAAATTCGCACACAGTATGCGCAATAGATGGAAAAACAGGTATGCAAAATTTGGTGGCGCTGCACGCCGCCGTTTTTCGGCTATCTGCGAAAAACCTGGGGGGGGGCGCAAATCGCCCCCCCCCCCCGGCCCGGCGCAGGTTAAGATTTTCAGTAGATATGGCTTAACGCTTTCCCGTTAATGCCAAAAAAAAAAATGAAAAAAGTTTTTGCTTTATCAAAAAATAACCGGTCATAATTCGATTAAATATTTCTCTTGCGCTAATCATCATATCACCAAGCATTTAATCGTATCAAGAGCAACCATCTTAATTTTTAGGTCAGCGACCCCTGTTGAAACACCAGATAATCCTTTGATAGCTCATAGCACTCAGTCTACAATTTACACGGCGCATGAAAGCACAGCCATCATTAGACCATCGCGCTGCCCTCACATTCGTTAGATTCCTAACGCATCCGCTTGCTCGCCTCTCCCGGCCAGACCCGCCGGAGCACCCGGCGGCGAGGCCGTCCAGTGCTGGTCAGCGGTCACTCTCCAGCCGGCCGCTGTGTAGCTCCGCCCCCCGCGCGTGACGTCACAGGGCCGCCAGAGCCGCCAGGGCAGCTGGGGTGTGGGCTCAGCCAACTATCGAATCCAGACCGTAGCGCCACTTGGCGGCCGGGAAAGATACATATTTGACCGACTATACGACTCCCCACACGAGGAGCAACAAAACTGGTATACAACACCAGAGCGGCAAGCTTTGGGAACCCTGTCTTTGAAGTGGAAGATAGAACCGATGGTGAAGGTGTTTCTTAGAATCACCTTGGGGTCAAGATAGGGATAGAAGGACGTCAGTAAAGTTATGAGGTCTTTTCGCAGGCTAAGGGATTGTGCACCAAAGTAAGGTAGTACTAGGTACTTCTCCAGCTTGGGCACGATGACTTCGCTCGATATTGCTGCATATTGTCTGTCAAGGAACTTTCTAACATGAAAATCAAACATGTTTGTTGGAAAGCCATTGTTTTGAAAGAACTTTCGTAGGAACTTGAGTTCGCTGTCAAACAGTTTAAAATCAGAGCAGAGTTCCTACGAAAGTTCTTTCAAAACAATGGCTTTCCAACAAACATGTTTGATTTTCATGTTAGAAAGTTCCTTGACAGACAATATGCAGCAATATCGAGCGAAGTCATCGTGCCCAAGCTGGAGAAGTACCTAGTACTACCTTACTTTGGTGCACAATCCCTTAGCCTGCGAAAAGACCTCATAACTTTACTGACGTCCTTCTATCCCTATCTTGACCCCAAGGTGATTCTAAGAAACACCTTCACCATCGGTTCTATCTTCCACTTCAAAGACAGGGTTCCCAAAGCTTGCCGCTCTGGTGTTGTATACCAGTTTTGTTGCTCCTCGTGTGGGGAGTCGTACATTGGGTCCACTCATGTACGCCTCACTACTAGAGTGTGCCAGCACATGGGGATTTCTGACCGCACTGGCTTAATGGTATTTAGCCCAAAGCCCTCTTCAGTTAAAGACCACTCTGATGAGTGTGGCACCGCCTTCTCAATTAACGATTTTACAATTCTGCAGAGGAGTTACCTGGAGCTTGACCTTAGGCTATTAGAGTCTCTCTACATCCACAAACATAGACCAAAACTGAATTCCCAAAACTCTGCGCTGCCACTCAATATCGTGTTATGAGTGACCTATAAGTGACGCTTCATACAACAGAGGCGTCCAAATATAACTGTCATGTGTATTGTGTAGCACGAATTATTGTACTTGTTTCTTGCATTAGTGTCTCGAATGCATATATTACGAACGACTGAATGATTGCGATGTATTTGTATGTTTTTTGTATTTTTACTCACTGATGATGGTGTTAATACACCGAAACCGGTCTGATCATAATGAATTCGATACAGTGCCTAATCTTACGATTCCTAAGGATGCGAATATACGGCAGAGCTGAGAGCGCTACTCTCACACTCAAAGGCACAAGAAAAGAATAAATTTAAGCAAAGTCATAACCAGTTATTACTGAGGCACGACTGTTTGACGCCATTCCGCTCCTCTCACGACCAAGTTTAAATCCTAGTCCACATTGGTTCCAAATGGCCATTTATTTTGTAAATGACGAGGAAGTAACGCATGTCATGCAGTACCAAGGCGACAGCAACGCAGTAACGCAGTAAGAAATATTAAACCATAGTTGAGGATCTAGAGGAAGCAGTACCGGGGCAGAGCTAGCTATACTGAGCTTTTGGATCTCCCAATTCAGTTGAAATATCAACATGTCCAGGATTTGACAGGTGCTCTATGACCCACAGATCTACCCGGAGTTCGGAATCGCTCTGTCATCTATATTCATCGGAGGGATGTGGGAAACTTTTCCCCTCCAACGCGGCCAGGCCGTGGCTGCCGCCGGACCCGGCGGACCGCTACGCGACCGCATCGTCACCCCACCAGCTGATGGGCGTAGAACCATCCCTTCCGCCCCGCATTGCCGGAGGCCGGGGGCGGAATGCGGCAGCGGCCGCGCTGGGCCGCGCAAACATCCGCAGGGGAGGACGCGGCGCGGCGAAACCACGGAGCGGCGCAGCAGCGCGACCAGCGGAGAGTCCATGAGACCCAGGTGCCTCCGCCGGCGCGGGTGGACCCAGCCAGGGCCACCTGGCACCGCCCCTGCGAGCTCATCTTCTTCATTACCTGTTACGATCACCTGGCCGGCCGACTCCCACCGTTCGGCGCCGCCTGTCACTTGGAGGGGAACAACAACAACCCCTCTGGGCAGCAATCAGGGCAGGCCGGCCGCCGGACGGACCGTTACTAGGTCGAGTCGGCGGCACCATCTACTTCCTCGTTCTGCTCTGCACTGTTCTGCTCTGCACTGTTCTGCTCTGTCCTGTTCTGCCCTGCCATGTTCTGTGCGCTCTGTCCTGCGGGACTAGCCTTGCGTGCCGCGCCCGAGGCAAATGCCAACCGCCGGAGGCGCGGTATATAAGCTGAGTCCCGCAGTGATCTATCTCTCTCTTCGCGCTCCTCGGGAGCTACGTGTTGGAGTCGACTGCCCGTGCGCGTTGTGCGTCCCTCATACCTACGCACTGCAGCCATGTAAGTACTAAGTAGAAGGGTGCGGCCCTTATTGGGGCTTTGTATATAGCCGTGACCAGTGTAATAATGTGTGCGCATGTAAATAATTACCTTGAAAACTTGCACAGTCTGTTGTGGGACAAATGGTGGGGGAGAGAATGAACGGCGAACTGAACTGAACGGCACCGAACTTGGCAAACGTAACATAGAGCAGCTCGGAAGCTCAAACAAACGCTACCTTTTAAACGACACAGTTAACTTCGGCACGCCACGCTACCAATAGTAATCCCAACCGTAGCAATGATAGAAATAAGGAACGTAACAACTTATAGAGAGAAAAAATAGTTTCACAACAATGCATGTTAGATGCTTTGTTCTAAGCAAAGGACGCTGCTCGTCGAGCCCCTAGAGCACTTCTGAAGAACCTGGTTACCCTTTTAATGCCCGTCAATCTAGCAGCAGCTTGATATCCGTGAATCTGCTGCTCACAGTCAGTCATTCGGCCTGGCCAAATAGGCTGCTCTGGCAGTGGACTCGCCAAATGTCCGTCTGCCAGCAGCAGATTCAGAAATTCGGCTGCTAGATTAAGGTACACCCAAACTTCAACCCTCAGGGCTTAATCAAAGTGGGCATTGGTCCACTCCAAACACTGGAAACCACTGGAAGCAGGTCTGAGTTTTCGATGTTTACTGGCACCAATCTTTGAGCTTCAGCTCCGCAACATTGGAGGAACTCGGAGAAGCCCAGCGTGTTCAACAAAACGAGTAAGCATACCTACTCATGTATTATACGAATGCATTACACCATCATTACGGTCATTGTAAAGGCACACATTCAACAGACATTGTAAAGACAGACAGATTTAAGACAGACAGATTTATTTAAGAGATAAAGACAGACAGACAGATTTATCTTATATTTATCCATGACTTCACCTGTAACCGGGTTTTATCTGTACCTGTTGGTGATGAGCAAATAAACATAAACATAGACATTCGACAGCGAGCAGTCAAACACTCGAACGCCGATCGAACACCATGACAAAAAGTCTGCTGACTTCTAACAAATGTACCATTTCCAACTGCCCGAGTTGCGCCTTTGAGAATAACTTCATGAATATGTGTCTGACGCCTGTCCCAGTAATATTGGTCTGCCCTTCTGAGTGGAATGAGGCTGGGCTCTCGTGCTGTTCGTCCGTAGTTCACGCTCTAGCTAACCTTCGCAATGCCACAACTTTGGCTGTAAAAATATACCTGTCAATTAAACACCTGACAATTTTATGAGCAAACTGCGAACGTGACCTCAAGCCTTCGTAGCAATTGCGTATTGACAACTGCTATCAATGAGTCGACATCTCTCACTTCTCAGGTCATCCCAGGACGGTTGATTCAGCAACTGCAAAACTCAGAGTGTGGTAAGGCAGCTCGTAGTAGTCCACGACGGGAATGATGACCAGCGGACGAGTCGGCGATCCATGATCGGCCGCAGGTGGAGATGAACCTCACAGGCAGATGCAGCGCCGATCTGAAGAATAAAAACAGAATATCAACCACAGGTGCAGTGAAGCAGACGAATAATAGACCATATCGCATGACGAAACAAATATGCACGCAGATCAATCGAAACGGCCGTAACGTCACTTTGGGGTTTATCCTTCTTTGGAACTATTATTGTCCTTGCGGTTAGAACTGAGTGACAGTCACAGGTTTACAAACGCAAATCAGTTTACAAACGCAAATCATCTCACTTCGATCATCTCACACGCGCATCGCTAATCGCGGCATCATCACATCACTAAATACACCCCTTCCCCGTCAAAGTACCGCATCAGTCAGCCTCGCAGAGTCCCCTGTTCAGTTTCACCGACCTCATCCAGTAGCCTCCAGCGACTGCAGCAGGTCCTCGCTCATCTCCACGTCACCGTCCTCGTCCCAGACCGCCTGGGTCGCAGAGGTGTTGGCAGCAGCGGCGCCCGACGGCGACGGCTTCGCCGGCAGCGAGGCGCGGATCACGTGACTCCGGTCCAGACCTGACGCGGGCGGGGATGGGGCGGTAGTTTAGTTACATGATCAGAGGCAGGGTAGGGAATGTTTTGAAGATTCTTTGATACCATTTGATCTATTTTACCGATGACTGGACGAGCTGATATCGACTCGACTCCAAATTTAACGAACTACTTTTGTGGTAACAAAATAGTGATCCTCGCTCTCTCATGAAGGCATTACCAAAGCAAAGGCATTACGCCTTTTCTTGTGGAAATGCTACCTTATGTCTCCTATCAGCCTCATCAGCAAAAGCATGACCCGGCCCTCTCCATCCCCCACCGCCACTCACCCCTGTCGGTCTTGGCGCGGTGTCCGCCGAACGTCTTCCTACTCTCCTCATAGTACTGGTTGGGGTGTTGCATGGCGCCCTCGAACGGCGTGCGGTGCACCAGCTCCCAGTACTTCTGACAGGCCAGCTGAGGCTGCGAGCGCTCAGTCAGCTCGAAAATCTCCGAAGAGCCTGCGGAAAAGAGGTCAGGATAAAAAACACAAGCAGGTTGACAACATAGAACTAGAAGACTAGCCTCTCCAATGTCTCGACTGATACGCTGTTCTGTCCACAATGCACCATGCAACCATTCATTCCTTTTCACGTCCCTCCGCACCGCTTCTTTCCCCCAGCTTACCGGTCTTATCGATACCGTGGGCGCTGAGCATCTTTCCCAGATGGTCTCGGTCGTAGTGCTTGAACGGACACCCAGAGTCGTTGGATCCCGACATTAGGATCTTGCTGCAGGGCATGGCGCTGTAGCTGGCGCGCTTGCCCTCCTGTCCGTAATTGTGCCGAATGTTGTACAGGTACTGCTTGTGGAACTGAAAGCATGGAGACAGCGGCGTTAATCTCAGGCCACAAGGTACCAGCTCGCAATAACCAATGCCTTAAAAACACATAACAAGTAACCAACACCGCAATTTCTCACCTTATCATTATCCATGACCTTGGTGAACTCCTCCCTCCAGAAGATGATGGCGTTATCCAGCGACATACCGACGGCCTTCAGAAACAGGCCGTACTGCTGCCGACCGCCGTGGAAGAGCTTGTGGTTGGCGCGCAGTCGCTCGTGCAGCTCGCGCATACAGGGCGGGAACGACTGCCGACTGAGGTCGTCGATCATTTCAGGCGTCACCGTGTTGTCGTCGCCCTTGGCGGAGTAGTCGCGGCCCGTGTAGCGCTTGTCGAAGTCGTTTAGCATGCTCTTCAGCCGCGAGTCCTCCTCGACTTCGGGCAACAGCCGGCGAGACATCTGAAGGCACGGAGAAGAGGGGCGTCATAGCGGGTCTCAGCGCTGGTACGTAAGCGAGTGAGCAATGTTTAGGTCCGGTCGGATAACTAAAATTATTTGAATCTGTTTAAATGAAAAAGGACAGAGCAAACTACTTAGCGACAAATCCGTCCGTATGGTCGAACCACTGAACTCTATGATGTGGAATGCGCATCGGCCGCCAGATGGTGTCCAACGGTGCCGCCATGCTGCGCAGACCAGAAAGCGGCCGCCGCCTGTGTTGGGGAATAGGGAATTCGGGACCTCGATTTACGTTTGCGGTCGCTGCATCCGTTACGTTCAAGCTATGTGGACACGGAACCCAGCATCTTACGCAGAATTGAGTGGAGAACAAGATGAAATCCTAAAAAATCCTAAGATATAAGGAACTAATACGTTAAACCCTTATAAGTCAATGGGGAAATATGAAAATTGCTATTCTGGCGCCGAGAATGATCTGAAACTATCTCAAGCATATAGAATCATGATTTCATGCACTCCTTGCAAAGTTCTATGCTTCATATTTACATTGTTGCTCTTGCGTGACGTCATTTGTGACGTCACAAGGGTCACAATTTTTCTTCAATAACTCCCGATCAAATTGAGCTAGCGAGTCGGGAAAGCCACCAATGGACTCAGGAAGACCTGCCGAATCGAGTGATATGCGACATGACCTCTTTCGACCAACTTCGTGACCTGGGGGTGCTGACCTGACCTTGACATGAGGTCAACACCCTAAGTTGACCTGACCAGAACAAAAAGTATATCATTCGATGCGCCTGGGCTAGCTGAACACGATGATGCCAAAATCGCGGCTCTACGGCCATTTTTGGCGAAGTTATTTACCAAAAACCGAACCCTTGCCTTAGATCACTTGACCTGACCTCAGAGGTCACCGGTTGACCTGAGACCTTTACAACGGGTTCCTACCAGTCACTCTGCATTATACTTTGCCGCATACGACCACTTAGCCGCTTAATTCTACTTAAATTAGCGGCGCATTAGCGAGGTGGGTTCAATCAACCCCCTCGGCCGGGGCAAATGTAGGTCCGGCGAGTGAATTTGAGGAATTCTGAAGATACGATCGTCTTCCCCACTCAATTCTGCGTAAGATGCCGGGTTCCGTATCTACGTAACTTGAACGTAACGGATGCGGCGGCCGCAAACGTAAATCGAGGTCCCGAATTCCCTATTCCTCAACACAGGCGGCGGCCGGTTCTTGGTCTGTGCAATATGGCCGCCACCGTTAGACACCACGGCCAATAGGATTGAAGCGGCAGTGCTCCCCTGTGGGTCGAACAAAGCATCTAATATAATAAACGAACGGCAGCTGGGAGAAATTCATTTCACCGCTATCCAAACCGCAGTTCCATTTACCATCAGCCACGTCCAAAAGCCACCACCATCCCGCCACCCACCCTCCCCGTCCGAAACTCTCACCGCCAGAGCGTGCTGCAGATGGGCGCGGAACTTGGCCGCCACAATCGACCCCAGATCCCGTGCCGGGATGTAGGCCATGCCGGCTCGGAGGAACACGCGCCGGCCGCGCACCAGGTCCAGGGCCTCCACGAACGGCACCGTGTACCACTGGGTCAGCTCCAGGGTGTCGGCCGTGACGCGCGCCGTGCCGTTCACCAGCGGCTCGCGCAGACGGTCCCGCTCGGCCGCCTCCACCTGTCCGGAGAGAGGGGGAGAGGGGGTCAGAGGGAGAGGCAAGAGAGCAGACTATAGAGTGCAGAAATGAAACATATGCAGAATACCACAGCCAGCGCTGTCAGGCATTTGTTTTACCGAAACGCCGTTACCTCGTTCAGGTGAATCCCGTTGTCGGCGAGGAACTTCCCGACATCCGGATCCATCGTCCTCTGAGATTGGAAACTGAAAAAGACAAATTGATAAAAATAACCTCGATGAATACTCACGAAAGGCTCTGCTGTCGGTTCCTTGTGTGTAACGACCAACCAGCTTCATCATTAACTACCGCTGAACCCTCGCACCTCAACTAAGTAAACATAGCAAAATCATAACCACTTTTCATTCTGTATACTTCTAACATCAAGAACTACGCCCCACTAATTCCCTATACCCTGTCAAACGGGTTACCCACTCACCGGAGTCGGAACATCTCCACCTCGTGCTGGATGAACCAGGCCCGGAGCTCCTCGGTCCGACAGTAGGCCAGCCGCAGGATAAAGTGCGAGATATGGTCGCGTCGCAACGCCTCCGCCGACAGCACCGCCGCAGCCGAGGAGTCACCGCGCCGCGACAACTGGGGGGCGGAAAAAACACGGAAGGTGAGAGACATGGGCATGGGGGAAGCAAGGCTAAAATGGCATGGATAGATGGAAGACAGTGTTTGGTGACAACATGCGGGATGACAGATATTGAAAATCACTGTAATCTGTATAGAACATGATATAGATGACCGGTAACTTTGGAGTGAAGAGCGTATTCCATTGTGACCCAAAGACGACCCCATCTCACCAGCTGGTAGTAGGCGTTCAGTTTTTGGCGTTTCAGGTCGCTCAGAATGAACTCCTCCCACTCCACCGAGAACTTCTGCTTCCCCACGTGACCGGCACGCTCGAATGTCCGCAAAACTGACGGTAAATCAAACGTGAACAGGGCACTGACAGAAAACACATGCCTGACTCATGACTGGTAAAATGTGGTGGGATCCAAATGAAGAGCATTTTATCAAATAAATGCCTGTAACACAACTACACAACTGCTGAGTGCCCAGCAGTAATGGGTTCAAACCCAAATCACTATACAAAACAAAACAGGCAAAAAGCCAAATAAAACAAAAGCAAAAACAATTGATCAAAATGGGAGGGAAATTCCAAATTTGTCAAAATCTGGAGCAAAACAAAACTAAGACCAAAATAATGCATGGAGGCTCCAGCACACAATGGGATAGGCACACAGAGTTGTAAGGGAGCTCGGACACCAGTAGCACCACCAACATCCTCCTGTCTCCAAGACCAACATACCCTGGAGCCTCTCAGCAGCGAGCGCGTCAAACTCCTCCAGCGTGACATCACCAGTGGGCGGCACCAGGTACATCTGCAGCGGCTGGTCCTTGGCTGATTCCGCATCCTTGGCACGGGCGCGCATTGACTGCCGCCGCTGCTCAGCTGACCATGGTGACTGTTTGAACTCCATCTTGCATCAAGCGTGCTGGAAGAAGGATGCAGCAGTGAGCAGGTGATGGTAGGTACCTACCTAACTAGCCACTCTGGATAGCCGATGCGGATGGCATGACTTTGGAGAAGCAAAGAAAGTGCAATCTCAGTGCCATGTAACCAGACCAACAAAGCTCATCACCATTAACCAATTGACCTCTGTTGTACCTATAGATACCTACAACTTTATTTCTGCAACATACCGGCTATTTAACTAAAGAAAAGCTAAAGTAATAATCATGGTTGGATGTTTTCATTTGTTCTGTTCCAGTTCAAGCTTGGAATCACATCAAAGTATACATGTCACATAGGCACAACAGTATGAATATGTACCACAAAATGTAGAAGGCGGCGTGTGAGCGATCGACTATAATCACCACGCTTGAATTTCAATCAAATACATCCCGTAATATTGGACATGCCTAAGAGCAGGGGGTGTCGAAGTCTAGTAGGAAAATCTGGCAAATTCCCTGCGTGACGTCACGTCGGGACTGACCGACGGCACCTTGCACTGAAAGATACGGCAGAACGGCTATTTTTGAAAAATGATTAAAAATACTTTTGTGCTGTTTTGACACATAAAACGCTTATCAGCATGTTCCTCATCATGTGATAAAGCCATATCCGTGGTCGAAAATAGCTGAGCCCCTCCCAATTTCCAACCACCGACCTCATAAGCAAAGGATGTAAGCGTAATCCTTAAGGGTGACTTTCCAATACATAATCGTACATATGCGTCCTTATGGAAATCGGAAGTGTGGCGATTGGCGACGCGCGCGACATCTGTGTGGCGACCAAGTGGCGACTGTGGCGACACCTGGTGGCTGCTTTTCTGCTGTATGTAGGCATAGGGGTTTTGCCAGTTATGGTTCCTACTGCTACACAACTATGTTGACCCAATACTAGAAAGTTATTTTGCCAGTAAAAGGCAAGCAAATTGAAAGTCAATTTATAAAATTGCTTATTTATGATAACGAGAAAATAATAAAGAAGTTTTGATTGAATATTTATTAAAATATCCAACCGTGAAACTATTCTGGTAGGTTTAGTAGAAATTAGTCCGTGCAACCTTGTATTTAGGGCCTTGCCTAAGAGCTGGACTTTTTGCACGCGTTCCCCGCCAGGGGGCGCCACTGAGGAAGCACCCTCTGACGTCACCATAAAACTGCGCGCACTGTGCGCACGGTTTTGTAAGCAAGTAATATAGTGGTGGTTTGATGGTGGAAATTGGAATAAGTATATTGACGTTGTAAAATTTCAAGCCGTTTTTGTAAAATTAATTAGTAAATGCATTTCAAAAGTATTTATTTAAAGTGTGAAAGGAGAATAATTAGAAAAACATGGATGTTTTTGTTCCAATAGCTTATTATGTGAGACATGATCGGTACCAACGGGTACTTCTAAGAAGTAGTGAAGAAGTACCAAACAGCCTGCTCGGCTCCGATCGTCAGCTGTCCTTTGGAGCTGGACTTCAACGCTGTAAAAAAAATGTGTGCTGAATTAATTTTTAGTTTCACCAAAATATAAGAAATTTATCATTTCTTTTTCACTTTTGTAATTATTGTTGAGTGAAGAGACATGTTGCTAGTTCTGACAATATAAATTATTAATTAAAAAAAAACGAAATGCGACGGTAAGTATCTGCTACTAAATTATCAATTTAACCAAATACATGGAGAATCTTGCTACCATTGCCTATAAAACGTGCTTATCAATACACAAATGTTTTATTTCAGACAAGAAGGATTTATTTGCCTGAAGTCTTGCGTCATGTGCTACTGCTTTGATTCCAAAGACGCTCTCCGGGTCGGAGTAATTTAGTTCTTCATCGATCGATAAGAGATTTTGATTCCATTGATATCCAAATTGATAAGCTCGGCACCATGGAGTAAGGGCGTCCCCACAGGGGTGACGCAGGAAATATGAATGGCGTTTACACCGACAGTAGTTTCCCACAGCCGGCAATGGGAATCTGTCGATGTAAACGCCACTATGTCTATAGTCCCATCCAACTCAAACACTGGGGAATATCCTCGCACTTTTGAGGACGGAAATCTATGGACCTGCTCGAAAAATAGTGGATAAAATACGGCGAGCTTTCAGTTTTATGGTTGGGTCTCCCTTCCGAGGCACATATTTACGGGGGATATTGTGTCATATTCCCCCGGCGTCCCGATGATCGGCGCCCAGCTCAACGTCGAAGGCGCCCTGATACGCGGCACTGCTATCTGTGAAGGTGCCCAGGTTGCTGCCGCTCGAATTTTGGTCGCCTACTTAACAAAACCTCCGTTGGTGCCATCTCAGTTTCCTCGAGGTCAAGCAACCTTCATACGCCGTTGGCTACCTTGGCTGGCCGGCGACTCGTTCCCCTCGTGGCGACGCTCTTGACATCCAGTCAAAAGTTGGAGTGGCTGGCGCCCCCAGTGGGGGCCGGGGAAGGGGCAGTGGGCCTCCACGTTGCTCTCTTCCCGAGCCTATGGTGACTTGGCTCAACTCTCCTCAATAGAATCTGGATTCTGCACGCTGTATTAACATGGGCGTAGACACAACTACGGACAATACGGACAGTGGGTGTGACAATCAGTAGTGCCATTCATATAGAGCGTGTCATATATGAGCGGAGAGGCAACAGTACAGCTGAGCGGAGAGACAACATTAAAATAACAGTACGGCTGGCGTTGCATGGAGCTGCAGGCAACCGGACAGCGGAGGCTTGCGAAAAATAAACAATTCGTCACTTCAACGTATAAACAATAGTATAAAAAGCAACATAAACACATATTCTAATGGTCGAACCCATGCACCAGCGGCTCACGGCGGGCACAGGCACGCAGTGCGGTAGCGGTACCAGATCACACGTCATGGGCGTTGTCTCAGCATAGGTTGTTATGAGCGGAGAGGCAACAGTACAGCTGAGCGGAGAGACAACATCAAAACAACAGTACAGCTGGCGTTGCATGGAGCTGCAGGCAACCGGACAGCGGAGGCTTGCGAAAAATAAACAATTCGTCACTTCAACGTATAAACAATAGTAAAAGCAACATAAACACATATTCTCATGGTCGAACCCATGCACTAGCGGCTCACGGCGGGCACAGGCACGCAGTGCGGTAGCGGTACCGGATCACACGTCATGGGCGTTGTCTCAGCATAGGTTGTTATGAGCGGAGAGGCAACAGTACAGCTGAGCGGAGAGACAACATTAAAACAACAGTACAGCTGGCGTTGCATGGAGCTGCAGGCAACCGGACAGCGGAGGCTTGCGAAAAATAAATAATTCGTCACTTCAACGTATAAACAATAGGAAAAGCAACATAAACACATATTCTCATGGTCGAACCCATGCACCAGCGGCTCACGGCGGGCACAGGCACGCAGTGCGGTAGCGGTACCAGATCACACGTCATGGGCGTTGTCTCAGCATAGGTTGTTATGAGCGGAGAGGCAACAGTACAGCTGAGCGGAGAGACAACATCAAAACAACAGTACAGCTGGCGTTGCATGGAGCTGCAGGCAACCGGACAGCGGAGGCTTGCGAAAAATAAACAATTCGTCACTTCAACGTATAAACAATAGTAAAAGCAACATAAACACATATTCTCATGGTCGAACCCATGCACTAGCGGCTCACGGCGGGCACAGGCACGCAGTGCGGTAGCGGTACCGGATCACACGTCATGGGCGTTGTCTCAGCATAGGTTGTTATGAGCGGAGAGGCAACAGTACAGCTGAGCGGAGAGACAACATTAAAACAACAGTACAGCTGGCGTTGCATGGAGCTGCAGGCAACCGGACAGCGGAGGCTTGCGAAAAATAAATAATTCGTCACTTCAACGTATAAACAATAGGAAAAGCAACATAAACACATATTCTCATGGTCGAACCCATGCACTAGCGGCTCACGGCGGGCACAGGCACGCAGTGCGGTAGCGGTACCGGATCACACGTCATGGGCGTTGTCTCAGCATAGGTTGTTCGCAATCTAGTTGAAGCCTAAGAAGACGGCCAGTGGGGTCTCACTGCTGCTGAGGCGACCTCGGAGACGATGCGTCGCCCCTCCTGTCGGCGACCTGCGGTGAGCAGGACTCCAGATAGCTGTCTGGCACGTTGCCGACACTGCCAGACGCTGTCAGCAGGCCTCACTGCTGCAAGTGATGTGCAGATGGACGCCAGGTGACTTCGTCTGCAGGCGATTCCAGAGACCGCGGCCTCACCAGGCAGTACCACCTGCACCGCCATGTCGGTGTTTCTAGAAATGGAAAAATAACAGTATCGGTGAAGGACAAGCAATACAATGTATTCTGTTTTCCTCTCTTGCAGGTATACGTAATCTACAATTATCATTGTTCCTATTTCATTCAACTGAACCTGAAAATTCCACATTGGCACATTGTTTGACTAAATTTGTGTAGTTGGGAACAGGGGCGACGCCACGGTGCGACGACTGGAGGGGACATTGACCATTTTGGAGGGGACGAGGACCATTTCAAGTCGATTCTTTCCATGCAACGCCATAGGCGTAATGTTAAAATTTTAAAAAGTGGAGGGGACGAGATCCCCTCCGTCCCCCCCCCCCGTGGTGACGCCCTTGGCTGGGAAGCAGATTGTTTGAAATACATGTTTGGCTGAACAGTGCGGAAAATATTTCATTGATCACTATAGCTGCAACAAAAATACTGAGACAGAAAACATTTGCGCTTACCTGGCTCCTTAGTCAGTCCCACACCACGGAAGTGGTACCATTTATCGCAGCCATCGCATTCGACCATCGGTGCTGCACTGATGCTGCTGCACTCCCCACATTCCCAGTACCTTAGGAGCGTCTTGGCTGTGAAAAGATTACATGAGTCATGGCGCATACATGAATAGTAAGATGTTTTATATGTTTAACATCGCATAGCAAAGACACAACAGCTGGGAGTCAAGTGTAAGCCAAAGTGTAAGCCCTGCCATGTTTTGCAGACTGGATTTTAAGCAAGAAAAGCTTTGCTAAAAATGACGCTTGACGAAGCCTCATCCTACTGGGCTGTCTGACATGTCTCCCTGTAAAAAGCATGTGGCCCTTATATTGTAAATATGATGAATGTTAATAATGCAGAGAAAACACAGTATAAATTATACCCAACGTTTCATCTTAATCGACTTTGTCAAGGGTGTTTGAACAGCTTGAGATGAGTGAAGTGTAAGGGTACCTAGGTACATCTGAAAATAAACCGAATCTGCGTTCAATAAATATTGATTTTGATAATACATTTCACAAATCAAACTGCTAATAACAATCATACTAAAATCGCACGACAGATAACTAACAATCGCATGAAGAACTTCTTGACTCGCCTCAAATTCGCCTTGACATTTGTCGTCCGAACGAGAAGTTACACATTTGTCTTTTCTGCGCAGCATTTATGTTTGCCATTTACCGCACCAATGTTCGCCAGCGGTGGTGACTTTTCCTTACCTGCTCACGAAACGTCACACACGACATGACGTCACCCGAAGACGTCATCAAAAAGTCCAGCTCTTAGGCGTGTCCGTAATATTGATATCCGCAACCATCGCCAGAATCGGTGCGTCGCCCTCTGTCACAGGAGCGTCAGTTTTATTTTCGCGCGATATTTCTCTTTCATTTCGCACCCCGAGATGCCTTAAAACACTGCAAAAATTTGTTTTGCGATTATGAGACATCTGCTGGCTGTGTCATGAACTAAGCTGGCTTGCGGGACAGTATAACTGCAGGCGTTTGTGATAGAGCCATCTATCGGTAGGAAAGGAATATCACCTCGCGCGTGGTTGACTGCGGTCGCGAAGCGGTGGACGACGCTCAAGAGGACGGAGCGGACACGGGCAATGGGCGGAAAGAAAGGACACGGTAGCGGGACATCCTTTGGCTTGTTTGTTTTGTTGGGGGCAAGCTCTTTATTGGACTGTGCGGACCACCGACAGTGCGCTGCAGCAGCAGGAACCGTCCTGATTGGCCATTAGCCAGTAGGTATGTCTTTTGGGCAGTATAGGGACTTTTCCATTGGGCAGTATCTGTCAAAACATGCACTGCGCAGTGAATGTTTTGCGGACGATTTTACGTCTAAAATCCAAATATGATTTAGTATAAAATAGCGAATACACTTTTGGTACGATAATAGTAGGCTTGCTTGCCAGTGGAATGCAGTAGCCACATAATAACAAGTTCCTTGCTAAATGACACGTGCCCGTAACCGACACCGTCCGTGCACGGTCATCAAGGTCCGTGCGCGTGCCAAGTATGGACATTTGATCAAATAATGCGATTAATTAATCTGATCTCAGGCTGCTTTGAAACATTAAATGCTAATATATGTTGAATATTTTTTTACGATAAGGGCTCGGTGACACATAATATTATGCTGAGTCACTCCTCGAAAAGTCATTGAGAGCGGCCCGGAATCTCCATTATAGCGTCATACCGATCTGAGACGAGCCGGGCTCGTCCGACGATTGATCCCGTCGCCACGGAGCCCCGCCGCCGTCTCCGGCGCCGCGGCGGTCTCTGTTGTGACCCGGTTGCCGGGGAGACGGGCGTCACCAGTCAGCCGGATGAGCTGTCTCGCTGAGAGAGGGACGTCGATAGAGCGCGGCCGGCGGGCAGCCGGGCAACAGGTGAGATCGGGACGGCGAGAAGTGGGGGGGGGGGGTAGAGATTCGAGGGTGTTAGATTTCGAACCTGTTGGAAACTTTGTGGGACATATTTTGTTACCAGAAGGCTGCATAAATAAGATACGTGGTGTTTCATGTGTCCAATTGGTAATTCAGGTTTTTACTTAGTTATTTTCTGGTTTGCTTTGCTTTCATTATTTTGTGTGAAACCAGCAATCATTTGGTTCAACGATGCCTTAGCTCGCGACCTGTGGAGGAGGGGGTGAACTACCCCCGAGTCTATGCTGCACCGCAGTCGATTCTGCAACTGGCAGAATTCGATTATGTAACCAGTCGATTCTGCGATATATATTATACCTACGTCAACGGGAGGAAATTGAAAGGCGTCTCTTTTGGACGAAGGTTATTCCGAACACTCTCAAACACCGAGGTACGTACATGTAAACATGACACACTGAGCCAGCAAATGGCACCCGTGACCCCTGGTTAATTGGAGCCCTCTCAGGTCACGAATGGTATGCAACAGTTTTTCGCTAATAAGTTTTGATATATCAGGCATGCCAGAGCGATGAAAACACTTAGATGTGTTCAGCTCGATGATACAGATCGACTGATGGCAACGCGACCTTTTCCGGTCAGGTCATGACCTTGACCTGAGGTCAAATTTCAAGCTGGCCTTTCAAATTCAAAGTATAGTCCATTCGACGCGTCTTGACGAGAGGAACACGATACCGGTGCAAGTAAGCTCGTGCAAGGCTTACTTCAAAAGGTCTTGTAGAAAACCCATTTATGCAAAAATTGTATATTTTCGAAGTTTTTGGCTTTTGCCCTTTGCAAGTAAAACCATTGAACTTTGGTTTTATCTAAGAAAATTACTCCATTTAAGTGATCATGGGAATAATTCCTCTCAAATACATTTTGTTTGTCAGTGTGACTCAAGCCCGGGAGGGGAATGCCAACCAATTAGGTATTCCATGCTTGGGAAGGGCTTCATGGTCAAACCCGATTATCTAAAGAACTGAGAGAGAGAGAAGAACCGAAAGCTCTCAAGCACTTTCAGGAGGGAAGAGATCACTTTGCTCATTTCAATAATGAGGCTATTGCTGGTTGCCGAGAGGTTAATTTTTTTCCGATGTTCCCTCATTCAATATTCAGACATACTCGTATTCTCTAACTTGTTAAAAGCTACAGCATCGCGTGGAGGTATGTACATTCATTCACAGTTTCGTTTTTCACTGATATGTCTTCAGATTTCACCTCGTTTCAAATATTTCACCTGCACTACTGGCATTGTAAAATTGACGTCTTTGTGTGTGTGTATTTTTTTATAACTTAACATGCAAACATTCACCGTGGCATCGATTTTACAAGCATCACATGTGACCTGAGGTCAAGAACTAATCTCGCTATGAAAGATTATCTTGCAATCAGATGAGCCGGATCACTGAACCTAGCACATGGCAGGTGTTTAACTGGTAATATCGCTCTAGCGTGTCTCTCAAAAGTTGTCGAAAACACATGAAGATTTTCATTTACCCTTATTGCTTTTAAACTGTAGGGTCATAAAGCTGATTTGCCTCTAAGTCACGCATAAAACGTCAATATAAAAAATCAATCAGATATAAAAAGCGGGTTGGTGAAAATGGTTAACGTTTACTTTGCTGAATGTCTCGCAAACGTCCGCATCACTTAGTCGCCATAGAATTCGTCCAGTGTTTCAGCTATTTCTGCTCTCCTGACTCCTGTCCTAATCTGTCCGTGAATGGGTCATCACGCCACATCACTGGATGACCATACGAGCGTGATCGCTGGATGCGTGCTCGATTTCTGCGTCGTTCCGTTCAGCCAGCACGCCATGGAGCGTCCCCATCACGGCCCTATTGATTGCACCAGCTACGATAGTCGACCTAATACACTACCGCCAATGAGCCGAAAAATGACCCAGCCTGATATGTGGAATCGATGTAAATTGAATCCAATTCTCGGGGATTAATGTCGGTCTCCGATTCCATTGAATGTGTAATCACGAAAAAAAATAATGGTTATGGGTGCTTGATTTGCTTCGAGATGGTTTCAAAGTGATATTGAGGGATTGGCCGTTTCTGGTAAATCAAATGGTTATACCATATTAGAGACAATGAGCGTCGTTTATATATCACCGAAATTGTGTATGGAATTAGACTGCAGTCTCTCAAATAGCTGGTAATTCATTCATCAAGTAGCTTGGTAATGAGATGCACTCGAAACTGTCGTTTGCCTATTTATTATATTCAACTTTGGCAATGTAACTACTGTCATTTATCCATCGTGTTAACATCGAGACGAAAGACTTCTATATCCTTCCAAAAAGGCTTTATTCATGAATCGAAAGCACTGCGTTTCGAAAACGACAATTGGCATGAAACATTTCATATTGGCGTTGATAAGTTCAGCTTACTGTCATTTCTACTTTAAACAAGAAAAAAAATGCTTTAGGAATCTCGATTCCATGAATGAGAATGAGCAAATTTATCTGCCATTTACGACCTTCGTATGTTTTTGTGTGCCTCATTACCACTCGAGCCTTCAAAAATCGATGTGTGTCAACTTGTGCTATGCATTGTGTGTTACAGAAGCAGGGGACACATCGGACCATTCATGACAGAAGATAAGAACATGAAAGCAACGTCATCTACACAAGTGTTGGATCGGTATTGATTCGCAAATTTGAAATAAATGCGTGCTACCAAAGGTACCACAGATGTTTCCTTCAGTTATACGCTAAGTTCCTAATATCTTATCTCTAATCTGTCCTAGCCTTGAGTCCACCATCTTCGACCTTCCAGCGTCCACCGTCCACCGCCCGCTCCGTCGCCGCTCGCTCTGATGCGTCCGTCCATCGTGGTGACCGGGGACGCCATGCAGAGCCTACACAGCCGGGTCAACGACGCCTTCCTGGCCGACGAGGCCGACGACGAGTGGCCCACCGGCGGCATGGACAGCCCCACCTTCAGCCTGGACGATGAGTGCGTCTCGCCGCCGCTGGCCAACCAGGGTGAGTCGGAGCGTTTCAATGCCGCCACGCCGCCCTCCAATTACAGCATCTTGTTCAATATCACCTTCAACTATCAGTGAATCTTATCTCTAATACGTGAGGCACTCACGCAGCTTTTAAGTCGTCAGTGACTGGTGTTTTCTCTGACACCAACCGCGCATGAATTAAGGGCTATTATGCAAGCTCGCTGCATTATGCTACAAACGTCGGAAATTTGCAATTCAATAAAATGTTTTCAAATGCAGGCTGGCCAATTATCTGCCTTGTTATTTATCAAGTGATGATACACGTAAAACTCATATCGTTGCTGTTTATGTAAGATAATGTTGCAACCATTACGAAACACGTTTATTTCGAGCTGTTATGAGACGCGATGCATCAGAACAAAACAAAAGCCGCTGTTCTTCTGAGCTCTTCGTTGAAGTCAAAATCCTATCTAATCTCTTCATAGTGTTTGTTGGACTTCATTTATCTTCGACTAACCGTGCATGGTTTTTTACATGCCATATGGGATCGTGTTAGTTATATCCGATCGGTGGATGAGCTTATTGCGCTTTACCTCTGAACTTTAACATGCTAAATTCAAGCACTGACCCGCAGCCTCTGCCTTATGTTTTTTTTTTGACACGTGACTTCTTACCTCATATCTTTACCTGTGACCTCTAATTTGTAACCTATGCACCTTTCTGCGGCAGTTGGTGGTTGGAGCTCTGGCTACATGAGCACGGGACCTACAGAGCCACCGCCCATCGGCGACAACTCCAGTTTGTTCGTGCCACGAATACGCGTCGGGGGACGGTGAGTGGCGGTCTTGATTGTATTTTTGCCATCTGTCTTTATTTCATTGTCAAACATCATAGAATATGTGAAATGTGGCTCTAAGATCCTGTATTCTGTGATCCGTGGCTCTATGACCCTACAGCCTGTGACATGTGGCCCTGTGACCTCTGACCTGTGGCTCTGTGACCCTATAACCTGTGACCTGTGATTCTGTGCAGGCCGGCGGTGGGCTCTGTCGGCTCCACCATGCAGACCGTTGTTGCTGATCAGGTACGCAATCTGGTGCGACGGTTCACGATGCGCACCAACCGAGTCAAGTCGGCGCTCCAGGAGTCACCCAGCTCCTCGTTCGACGACGAGAGTCAGGGTTAGTCTGAACGAAACTTGGTCATACGTGTGATAGTCACGAGATTCAACATTTAGATGTAATCAACACATGCATAAAAAGTAAAGTTAATGACTAGACACAATGTCTCAATCACTCATCCTATATTTCATGACGCTGGAGATAAAGAGCTCACATAACATAAATTGCCACCGCAAGTTTTAGCCACATTGCATACCTCAACAGCCGCACCTAGACTGTGCATGCTCTCAGCCTTGCCAGCTCTCCGCTCGCTAACAGTCCCCCTGCCCTTCAGACGAGGACACGGTGGAGCCTCCCACTCTGCAGGTGCCCCAACCCGTGGAGAGCCTGCCCTCCGGTCCCGACACAGGCCCGCCGCCTCCCGGGGAGTATCTGGAGCCTCCGACACCGACCACCAAACGGACGGTCAGCTGCTGCGCCCCGTTCGTCTGCTTCAGAGACTACTGTGTCAACCGCGCCATCAACCCGCAGGGTGAGGGCTGTGTGTGTTCTACCGCTTCAACAGAGCCATCAACCCGCAGGGTGAGGGCTGTATGTATGTTCTGTCGGGTCAAACGCGCCATCAGAGCACAAAAATAAAAAGCAGTCGGGCTGCTGTGTATTGCCCACAAGTCACAACAATTGTAGATAGTAAGTAACACATTGTCAAAATAAGCCATTCAAAAGTCAAATTAGACAGAGTGTGTTGGCTCAGATTTTAATTTGATTGTGTTCCAGGAGTGTTGTACCTGATCTGGTTGTCCATTATATCAGCGTTTTTCACCTACAACAGCTGGGCTATTCCGCTACGCGCTGCGTTTCCGTTTCACACGCCAGGTAAACTTCTATTCTTAGTATTCCTGAAGAAATACGGGAGTTGGCTCTGCGTGAACTTTATTGCAGTGCTGCCGTATGCTACGAGGTGAATTTAAGGGAGCACTGACAACGAGGTTAAGATAAAATATTTAGTCTTTGTGAAAATTCAGATCATATGTTTTTAGGTCGGCACAGATTCGTCCAACATCTTGTAAAAGTGCATTTCATCTTTTAATTTTCCCCGATTGCTGTCGAAGAGAGTTAAGTACAAACAAACATTGCATTTATTTTGTAAACAGCCACTGAACTAAGAATGCCGGCTTTCAGAGACGTCCAAGTACTGGTACACATTTGACTACATGGGAGACTTGCTGTACCTGCTGGATATCATCCTATTCAAGTCACGGGTTATGTTCGTGAGGAACGGCTTCTGGGTGAAGAATCCTCCGGAGATCAGGCAGCACTACGCGTCACAGCCGATATTCTTCGTATGTCTGATCGTAGGAGATCTGGTTGAATGTCTCGTTGTGTGATCTTGACAGCCAGGTTCACCAAAACGTATCGGCATTGTTTTATTTGAATATGATGTCCATTTTATCTAAGCTACGCTTAGAAGCAAGTTAGAGATGAAAATAACGGTTATTTTTCAGTTGGACGTTCTTTCTCTGGTTCCGTTCGACATATTCTACTTTTCCTACGGTCACCAGCCTCTGCTGCGTCTCAACAGACTTTTGAAGGTGAGTGCGTGCAAGTCAAAGCGAAGCGAATACGGTATTACCAATAATGCCTCTGTCATCGCGTCCTTGTGTTGTGTCCTCTGGCCTTGTGAATACTTCCATTTAATAGGTTGGGACTAAATTTATTAAGAAAAATGTAAATGAAATGCATTTATAACTCGTTTGTAGGCATAGTAGTCATACTAAAAATGAAGTATACCAGCCATATTATTGTCGTTTTGTGTTGCTTTTACTTCACCAACATAAAACAGCGACTCGCACACCGTTCTCCCGACACGAGATGCCCGCCGCTGTATCACCAGATCCAGACGTACTGGAAGTTCATGGACCGGGTGGACGCGCTGCTGGCGATGCCACACTACGTGCGCACCATCCGCACCGTCATCTACATGCTGCTGTTGATTCACGTCAACGCGTGCGCCTACTACGCCGTCAGCGTCTGGGAAGGCATCGCCACCAACGGCTGGGTGTTCGACGGCGTCGGAAATCCGTCAGTGATCTGCTAGAAAGAGCCACATTTGTTATAATTATTGATTAGTGGGAATTAAATAGCTATTAAAGACGATTCAACTCAGCTGAGGGCTGTTTGCTGTCTAGTCTACTGATATGTCGAGAGTTTCAGTCTCGATTTTTCCAGGTATGTGCGCTGTTTCTACTTTGCAACAAAGACGGCCACCTCGATCGGGAAGAACCCGAAGCCTACCAATGAGTTTGAATACGTGTTCATGACGGGAAGCTGGCTGATGGGAGTGTTTGTATTCGCCCTGCTTATTGGCCAGGTGAGAGATGACGTCATTGCAATGCTCACTGTAGTTAATGAATGATCCCTCATCCCTGAAAAGAAAGGTCTCGAGGGGCTGCCGAAGCCAGTATTGTCACTGTGGGAACAAGAAAATCACACTGCGAAGGCAAGCCATGATTTAAAACTGTAACAGGGCACAAAATTGTAAAATGTTAATGCAACGAATTCATTTGAACTGACTACAACGTATATTTAGCATGACCTTATTTAGTCGCATATTTAGTATATCTAGTCTATGCATGCCAATAATTGTCATTGATGCTATGACATTTTCTGTATCATCACCCGTCACCACTGCGCCAGATTCGTGACATCGTGGCCAAGATCACGCGGTCGCAGGATGAGTTCCGCCAGATCATGGACAGCACCATCCACTACATGCAGCACCTGAACCTGCCGCCGGAGCTGCAGCAGCGCGTCAGGACCTGGATGCACTACACCTGGAGGCAGCAGAAGTCACTCGGTGCGCGGTTGAGTCAGCACAAGGAAGGCTGTTGGAATTATGGGCTCATAAGTAGCCTATCATGAATATGCTTAATACTTTTGCTTAAAGTTAAAGTAGGACAGGTTTTTATGTTTTTTAAGCACTTACAGGAAAATGAAATTTCATTGTGTATAGATTGATTAAAAAAACTCACATATATCTATGAAGTTAAGCTGATTTGCGAATGCTTATCTAAGTTTCTTTTCTGTCAATTTTCAAGATGAACGCGTTTGATACAGCTACACACATTCACTATTTTTTCCACAGACGAGCTCAAGGCCTTGGAGGTGCTGCCACACAAGATGCAGACGGACATAGCTCTGTCGGTCCACTCTGACACTCTAAAGAAGGTGCATCTCTTCCAGAACTGCGACGAAGCACTTCTGCGCGACCTAGTGCTCAAACTGAAACCGATCAACTTTCTTCCCGGCGATTATGTCTGCAAAAAGGTGAGACATGCGTAATACGTATTGCATTTTCACATGTTTTATACTCTCAGAAGTACGATTAGCGGTTCTAATGCCGATTTAACCCTCGCCGGACCTATTGGTTTTCTACATACGCGCCGGCCAAGGGGGGGGGCGGGTACGATCCCCCCTCGCCGTTTCGCCCCTGGTGGAGCTAGCGCGTCGCGGAAAAAACGAGCGTGTGCGCCGTTACGAGACGCAGAGATTGGTACCCGGTTTTAAGGTCCTAGGTCAACCGGTGACCTCTGAGGTCAGGTCAAGTGCCCAAAGGTACGGTTCAGTTTTTGGTGAATAGCTTCGCAAAAAAACGGCGCAGGGCCGCAATTTTGGCAGCATCGTGTTCGCCTCGCTCAGGCGCGTCGAATGATATACTTTTTGTTCGGGTCAGGTCAACTTAGGGTGTTGAGTGTTGACCTCAGTTCAAGTTCAGGTCAGCACCCCCAGGTCACGAACTTGGTCGAAAGAGGTCATGTCGCATATCATTCGATTCGGCAGGTCTTCCTGAGTCCATTGGTGGCTTTCCTGACTCGCTAGCTCAATTTGATCAAGAGTTATTGACGAAAAACTAATATGACCTTGATGACGTCATAAATGACGTCACGCAAGGTCAACATTGCAAAAATGACGCAGCTAACCTTGCAAGGAGTGCATCAAATCACGATTCTGTGTGCTAGAGATAGTTGGAGATCGTTCCCGGCGCCAGAATAGCAGTTTTCATTTTTCCCCATTGACTAAGGTCACGAAAATGACCTGACCTCATATGACCTTTAGGAAAAATCCGAGATATACAAGTTGTGAAACTCATAATGGATACTAGATCCTGCAAGTTTCATTTCCCTGTGACATCTCCTTTGGCAGTGAGGGCGTTGCGAAGTTGCGACATCTGAAGACCGTGCAGAGGTTCACTTATGACGTCATAGGTCAGTGACCTGACCTAACCAAAAAATGCGGTTGGTGTCAAAAGATCCGGCTTGAATCAAAGGTCAGGTATGCCAAGTTTCAGCTCTCTATCGCCAGCGTGTTCGGAGCTATCGCGAAAAAAAACCTATGGGGGGGGGCGGCACCCGCCCCCCCTCGAGGGTTAAACATTTTCTTGACTTGGTAGTTGTAGCTCAGCCCCAAATCAAAATTGTTCTTTCTATAACTGGCGCCGTGAGAGCTCCCGGCAAAAGATGCCTGCGAGTTAGACTGTACCGGTGGGCACCAGTATACGGCGGCGCAGTCTAACCGCCTGCCGCGCCTGGAATACTGCGCCGCATATCTCGCCCGCTCGCCCGGTGCTATATCCCGCTCTCTGAGACCCCTCCACCATCTACCACCGTCTAACTGAGGCGGTCTGTGTGACGATTCCTCTCTGCCTACAGGGCGAGGTCGGTCGGGAGATGTATATCGTCAAGTCGGGCCACGTGATGGTGATGTCTGGCCGAACCGTGCTGGCCACCCTGCACCAGGGCAGCGTGTTCGGAGAAATCAGTCTGCTGGGACTGGACGGACTCAGCCGGCGCACCGCAGACGTCAGGTCAGGGGAGGATGGACGTTACTTGAAGTCTCGTTATTGATTTAGGATGGCAGTATTATGTCACGATACTTTTTACGCGTTTTAGTTGCACCGCTTACTAGGGAATAGCGTAAGTTGACTTGCACTTGCTCTCTTGCAGGTCTCGTGGATACTCCACGTTGTTTGCTCTAAACAAAACTGATCTTCAGGAGTCTATGAGATACTACCCCGACGCACAGGAACTTCTAAGGAAGCGAGCGAAGTAAGTCTGGCCAGATGTGGTGTGCTCAGATCGACTAACAGTAATAATATTTGCTAGAAGAAATATCTGCTGGCTATGCATATATACCTAATGTTTTTTCGCCAACAACAGACAAACAATTCTATTCACATTTCTAGAACTCTGATAAAGAAAAATGAAGCCATGGACAAGGGAAAACATGTTGAAGAAGACGATGATGTCATAATCAAGAGGCGACCTTCAACTCCAAAGCTGCTGCAGGCAGTTCTTCAGGTCAGACTGTGATGCAACAAATCATCAGCGTTTCTCGGAACTCTTTCATTTTAAAATCCCATTTTGGAATTAGTAAGAATGGTTATTTAAAAGGTAAAATAGGATAGTAACCTGTTGGGCGGAGCAACAGCCAACAATCAACGAATCATGCTCCACGAAAATATTGACAGCTGCAGCAGAAATTTAGCTGGCTCATGTAACTCCTCAGCTCCTTGTGCTCCTTATCCTCTGCCTCAGGTGGTGGACCCCAGCTCGATGACGGCCTCGATGCTGGGCACCCGCGGGGTGCGCGGGGCGTGCTCCCAGATGGAGCTCCGAGTGCCGAGCAGTCTCTCGGCAAGCCGGTACTCGCCCATGTCGCTGCCGCCTCAGCTGGAGAACGCGCAGCCCTCGTTCAGCGTGGAGACGTCCGACTCACTCACTGAAGAGGATGAGGTTAGTGCGGTGAATGATTACAAACAGGGCAGGTACGGAGAGAGACACAGGGTAGACAAATCCGGAGGAAAAGGCTCGAAGTGGCTATGCCGACAGCCGATACATGTGATATGCATGCAAATAAATATCGCACTCGATTGCCATATGCTGCGATGACATGGAATTTATTTCCAAATGATTCATTTATGAAGTGTGGCTGTTGATAATTGCGTGAAGGAAATGCTCCCTCAAACATGACAATTCAACGTAAGATTACGCTCCAAAGCACACAGTTCATTTCATTTCTATCGCTCAGATTCTGATGGAGGCCAGAAACTCCCACCCGGGCGGCGGTGTGCGCCGTTTGATACGCAGCTCTATCAGCGAGGACCGGGATGACGGCGTCATCATCACCAAGTCACTGCGCAACTGGGCGGCCGCTTCACTCGAGTGAGGATCCTATACATATGTTGTTGCATATATTGAGCCGTGGGCGTGATTTGTGCTCTGGTAATGATGTAGGAAAATGATTTCCCCAAAGATGATTTTGCATTTTGTAATGTTCACTATGCGAAAGCCGTAAAACCGGGCAAAACAGCATCAAGATGTTACTTTTAATGTTACTATCTGGCTAAGATGATAGTGAAATCATAAAAGAGAAGCTACAAAATACAAAATGAAACAAGTAAGAAGTCTTCGGTTTCTGCGTTTTCACTGCGTTGGGTCGCAGAGACCAGTTTGTCACTCTCCAAAAAAAGACGGATATCGTACCGACATGCGTCTGACTGAGCTTCCTGACTGAAGCTGTTTCTGTTCTGACCGTCAGGACGGGCGGCTCTCTGTCGCTGGACAGCGACTGGGGCCGCCGGCTGAGCCGACAGGCGGCCATCCAGGCCGACTCCGAGTCGGTCACCGGCCACGTGCACCAGTACGCCGCCAGTCGGGCCGGCTCGCCGCCGTCCACCACCTCGCCGTCCTCGGTGCGCACCGTGGCGCCCTCGGCACCCACCCCGGCCCTGGGCTCCGGCTCGAGGACGCCCGCCTCCGTCAGCCGGTCTTCCAGCTGGAGGAACCACCGTGTCTCGGCGCAGGGCTCGGTGATCCGCTGTTCGGCTATGATACACCGGGAGAGAACGCCCACCTCGCCGGCCGCTGAGGCCGTCGGCACCGCTTCCCCGCGCCAGAGGTACTAGGCTACTCCGGGGCTGCCCCTAAGAGAGCGTACTAGAAGGGACAAACAGCGGCTGCCGAAGCTACCTCCCAAAGAGATTCGTGTGTCATGAGGCATTTGCGTTCGTGATCACCGCTGTTGCCCCGAAATATTTTTGGATGCTCGATGAAAACAAGGTAGATTTAATTAATGTTGCCATTTGCTGAGCCAAGTGTCACGATTTTTTTTTGTCAGCATTTATATGGTCAGTCAACAAGTGTCAGCAATTATTTATCCAAGTGTCACGATTGACTGTAAAATACAAGCACCATTGAATGGATGTGCCTGGTATGGAAAGGTCGGCAAACTTGGTAAAAGCAAGCAGTTCCTTGGGCTAAAACGTCTATCATTTCTTAAAACTCTGCATAATATTTTTTTCAGGTATTTGAACGTTGAGCTGAGCATTGTTAATAAGATTATTAGAAGGATGAATAACCTGTTGCTCATTTCTATCAGAAATAGAAAAAATAAACCAATATATATTCGGGCGTGGCCCTTCTTCAGTGGTACAAGATCACAATAAAACAAGAGAGACGTATGTCGTACATACGTCTCTCTTGTTTTATTGTGATCTTGTACCACTGAAGAAGGGCCACGCCCGAATATATATTGGTTTATTTTTTCTATTTCTGATAGAAATGAGCAACAGGTTATTCATCCTTCTAATAATAATATTTTTTTCTTCCAATTTTGACTCCACGCCGAGACGGCAAATGACGGAGTTTCCCGTAACGTACAGGTTTTTTTTCATAGCGCGAGTGAGTTGAGTGGCACTACTTATGAGCTCCTTCTTTCCCAAAAACTATTATAGGTATCCCATTTTCCCTCAACTCAGGAATATGTCATCGAAGAATATGTGCAGCAAAACTAAGTTCACTGACCTGGGTGTCACTGATAACGTTACAAGTCAGACCAAATGTCTGACCAAAGGTAAGGGCAGGTCACAAAATTTCACCAAAAAATTGAAGTAATTTTTTAATGTCTAATGCATAGAAAATGTGATAACGATTTTTGACAGATGTCGGGCATATAATGGCCGTTTATACGACGGGCTATCCGGCGAGTGCACCTAATTTGACCAAATCTGCACCTAATCTCTTTTACAGCAAATATCTGTATTTTATGAATTTAGTTCAGTGTTTTCAGCGATGATACTCTCTGATAATATGACAAAGCAGGCATATAAGCAATTAGTGCAACCCTAGCTGATAGCTAGTAAGAGACACTGAACCTGATTTGACCAAATCTGCACCTGATCTGCACCAAATGTGCACCAGATGTGTACCAGATGGCCGTCGTGAAAACGGCTAATAAGATTTTAGTGTCGTGTTTTCACCTGCGTCCATCTTCAGCGGGATAATGAAGTAAAAGTGATACTCGAGTCTCGAATACCTAAAAATGATCCAACGTTGAGATTGCAAAATGTAAGAAAAAGACCGAAACTCTCTCCCTCTCTCTCTCTCTCTCTCTCTCTCTCTCTCTCTCTCTCTCTCTTTCTCTCTCTCTAAAAAAAACTATGAATAAAAGATGGTATCCCATAATGGATAAGTAACACCAGGTAAATATTCTGCAGCGTAAAAGCCGTAAAGCCATAGTACACCAACCAGACACCCGACCACACGTGCAGCTGTAATAAACACCCCTGGGAGGAGCTGCAATCACATCTGAGAGGAGCTGAAATCACCCGGGCACCTCGCTGCAACTGACGTTACATCAGCACCCACACTGCCCGAATGAGGCACCAATAAACAGAGAGCAGAGTGGATCAACTGTCGGTCACATGTGGCGTGGTTACAGCGCCATCGAGAAGACTGTGCTGGCTCGCTTTTCAAGCAAACGCAATTGAGACTGAAGGTCGGCTTGATAAATAAAATCAAAGCTATGCCTATTCATTAAAAGCCTACGAAAATTCATTAGTTGTGCTATACCGCCACAACCTGTATAATAAAAAAAATATCGAATCTTTCGCAAATACAAAATGTAATGCGTGATAGTTATTTATGAGAGGTCATGCCTAAATTAAGCTGCTTATATGATCCTTTCAAATACCTACTTGTGATTGTTAGCCGGTCGTAATAGTCATACCGGCTTATGTGAATTTCTATAGCCTATAGTCACTCTCTGTCGTCCGGTCAAAATTGCTGTTGATATCCCTTCCCCCACCCGAGTTTTGTGATTCACGCTAAGCTGACAATAGGTCGTATAGAGCCGAAAGTTTGCTTACCATCTGACATCATGGGTATCCACCTGCATCTCTTGGTTAACAAAATTGCTCGGATTAGGTCACGGATGTAAAAGGCCACATGAAATCATGACATTCGAACGATTTTTCATCGAATCCTACATGCAACATGCAAAATATTATACGAATAAGAAGCTGAGTTTTCTCTTTAGCGACAAAATGTTGAATATCGATATTGACTAATAATTTTGGTGATTGACAATATGAAAATTAATTGAATACAGATGACTTGGGATGACTCCAGATTCATCATGTTACCATTCAGGAACTATAATTGTCTGAAACACAGACTTCTCTATATACATAGAGAAGTCTGAACACAGACTTCTCTATATAGAGAAGTCTGTGTCTGAAACCATCCCCAACACTAGGTTTGGAATTACTGGAACTGAATTGGTGAAAAACGTTCCTGTCTCACTTCAATGCCAATGTTTTACAAAAAAAAAAAACACACACACACACACACACAACAACAACAACAAATATACACCTACCTAGCGTATGGGCAAGCATCAACAGATGAACTTCAACATATAGGTATCACTCAGGCAATTCAAAAGGTGGATCTAAGGCCAGATATAAAAAGTTGTTCTATCACCACTTGATTTTGAGCATAGAAGGATAAAGAGCTGTTCAACCGCCCCTTATGTCGTAACGTTTAACACACGATAAGAAACGCAATAATAGAATTGTTACATATTGAATGGATTTCTTCCTCTGAGATATTTATTCAATGCTCAAGATCATGTCAAGTAGAAAATCTCTTATGGCTTCATAGCGCAAGCGACTACTTGCCCTATCATCCGTCGGACGAGGATGAATGATTCACAACCACCCGTCGCCCCCACACACACACCTCAGGCCAGGTCACCGCGTGATGACGTCACACGCCATTGCAGGTCACTGATGACGTCACTTTGTGTTCTGTACACCGGCGTGAGGGCTGCTGAAACACGCACACTGAGCAACACTCCGAACAGCACAGGCGTCCGAGCGCTACCGAACCACCCACTGAGCCAGGACAGCAGTCCAGACGTGTCCCTCCCCTCCCCTCTGTCTCTTCTCTCCCACTCAGTCCAGGGTCTCATCATACTGTGCGGGAGGACCGCCTGTCTTCTCAGAGGAGGTTCCCACGTGGGGGGCTGCTCTGCAGCGCTCGGAGGCCCTCCGCCGCGCCGCGCCGCTCTCCCGGCGCGGCGCGGCGCACGGGCCGGTTTTAGCGCACCGCGTGCGGTCGGGTACCGCCGCGTGTCGTCGCCGCCGCTCCGCCGCCGCCGCGACCGGCTACCGGCGCGGCTGGGACGGCGGCGATACCGCGGGGCCGTGTCTGAGCCGACCAGCCGACGCGGTGTGGGTGCTCTGACCGACCCAGGTCACTGCTGATACTCAGTCGAAGTCACTGCCCAGAAACGCTGGAAACTGAGTTGGGACCCGGGAGCTGAGTTTGAAACCGAGTAACCCGCCTAGGCTGCTGTTGGAACTTGGAAGACAGTGGGCCCAATAAGGCCACCTTCTGATCGGAGACGCAGGGTTGACCGCTCTGGCTGCTTCCGCGAAAAAAAAAAGAGAACAAAGGACTGGCACATGCCGAAACCCTTGTCATTGTTCTGAAATCAATATCATTGGAGACTGTAATGCTCAGCAGTGGTTTAGTCATCGTTTGAATCCACTAGTCAAGTAATTTTGGTTGGTAAATTCGGATGAGGAGCTAACAGATTCGCCGTGGTCACCGCTGAACATATACAAAAGACAGGTGACCCGGCGAGGTCACTATAATGTGAATCACAAAATCACCCAACAAAGTCATGGCAGGATAAGTGGCCAACAGACCGTCAACGGGTCAAATAGCATTAATCGTTTTAGCATAGAGTGGACGGAAATTTTGTCTGCAATAATGATGCGCAGTGCGCACGTCAGTGTGTAGAAAGAAGAGATACTTTTACGGATGTTTTTTTTCCAAAACACTCAGAGGCTGGCGACACGCAAAATGTTATCGACGGCAGGGCTGTTCGCTCTGCACAGCGAAACTGTGAACAGTTTCGCCCAATATCCGCTTAACAGCTCTACATAGCTAAGCCTCACACCATCAAGGACATTCCGCAGGTAATGGGAACGAATTAAAGGTTGCCTACGATTCTGGATGAAAAAACTATTTTATTATGCAAAGAACACACACGGCTGCATAGCAGGAAACTACGATAGCCCCTAAAGGGCTCTGATTTTTAGCCGATCATTTAGTTTGGTCCCAACAGTGCGCCGGTAAAACTAAACGCCAATTCGGCAAATCATGATCCACTTCTGTGCACCTATCCATGAGAAACACTACCATGTTTAAAAATCAGTTCAAATTAGAAGCTAATTGCTACAGACAAATGTAACGCATTTAACCGTTCAAAACATGTGCTCAGCACTTTCTCGTTTCCGGCGCTGTTTTCGGAAGGATTTTCAACATCCGCCTTCCGGTATTGCCTCACGGTCGTGTTCTCGGTCTGATTTCCGGAAAGCCGCCGCGCTGCTGTCAGCTCCCGGTGTTTCTCGGCCGTCCGCAGCTCCGGCTCGGCGGCGGCCATCTTGTGGTCGTGTCCTGTCGGCTTTGTTCGCTCCGGTCGTGTTTATAAGCTGCTCGGAGCAGCGCTCTGTCCATCTGCTGTTCATCTGTGTCCGTCCCGCTCTCCTCGACTCGGGCGTCGCCGCGCTCAAACGCGTGCTGTTTATCCTTCATTTCTTCGTCAAACAGCTGTTTACGCTATCTCAAGGTGCGGTCGCTTCCATAATTAACTGCCAACATCAACCGCGTCCATTAATTAACGCCTTAAGGCGTCTGTTTCGCCAGGTCGTCGCAGTCGACGCGGTGGCTCCGCCCCCGTCGGCCTCGCACCAATCGGCACGCAGCGACAGGTAATGAGAAGGGACCTAGAAACGGGCGAGTCTATTTTGGCCCCGGCCGTGTCTTATCCCGTGCCCGGCGGCGCGGTGGACTCGCCCTCCTCAGGGGGAGGTCACAGGCGGCTCGGCGGGGGCGGCACGTGCGCCCGGCAG